GTGGCTTCATCCCCACGTGTCCCCGCTGCCACCTCCCCAAGGCCCATCACCTCTTCGAGCTGCTGAAGCTGCAGCGCATCTTCGTCACCCGCTTCGGGGAGCTGGTGGGAGCCGTCAGCCGGGTGGAGGTGAGTGAGGGGGGACAAGGTGGGGACAAAACGGGGGGGACAAGGCGGGGATAGGACCCCTCCACACACACCTCCTCTGTCCCCTTGCAGCTGCGGAGAGCGATCGAGGAGCTCGCCAACCCCAAGTGATGACTTTTGGGGACCCCAAGGGACCCCTCCCCAAGGGACGGCACCCATGGGAAGTTATCCTGACACCCCCCAAAATCATGGGGGCGTCGCCCCCACCCGGGGATCCTGACCCCCCCCAAAATCATGGGGGTGTCCCCCCACCCCGGGGAGCGCAAGCGTCCGGGCTGGGGGGGTGTGCTCTTGCATTAAATACGTCAATCCATCAATGCTCCCTCTTCTTCCTCCTCCTTCTCCAGCCCCACGGGGTTCATTTTGGGGTGGTGCCACCTGCCCTGCCCCACAGCGAGGCTCAAACCCCCCTAAAATCACCCCAAAACTGCACCCAGCCCCAGGCCATGCACCATGCACCGAAGTGCCCCAGTCTCAGCGACCACCCTGCCCCATGGACCCCTCCCCTATAATTATTGGTGCATAATTATCTTTTGCAATTAATAAGGGTCCTGGGTATTTTGCAACCCCAAGATTCTGGAGGAAATGGGGGGCTGAGCCCCCCCAACAGCTCTTTGGGCCCCCCCTAAACTGGGGCGCAGTGTTTTTGGGGGGAGCAGAGGGCGCGGCAGGCGGTAACGAAGACAGAGTAATTAAGCACGCCAGGGTAATTAAGCACGGTGGGGCAGGTTGGGCGAGGCGGGCATGCCCGGGCCCAGCCGGAGGAGAGGTGAAGTGGGGTCAACGCCAGGGAGACACCCCAAAACTGGGGCAGGCGATGGGAGAGGCGCTGGGATGGGTGCTGGGGTGAGCAGGGATGCGGTGCAGCACCCATGTGCCCCATGGAGGGTGCTCAGTGGGGTGAGGGCGAGGCAGTGGGGACAGCAGCAGAGTGGGAGGGGGGTGTGTGGGGCACCCCAAAGGTCCCCCTTGCCCCGTGCCTCAGTTTCCCCATCATTCAACACTGGCCCCACCATAGGCAAATAAAGATAAGGCGCTGCTGGGTGCCGCTGTGCACCCCAATCCGGTGTGTCCCCCGCACCCCGGCTCCTCCCCGTGCGCTGCCAGACTTTGAGCCGGGACCGAGGGCAGAGGGGGGGCTGAGACCAGCAAACT